GAACACCATCAAGCCGTCGCTCCTTCGTCAGATCGTAGGGGGTGCCCTCGTAGTGGTCGCGAAAAACGTTCATGACCTTGCTTCCAAGTGACCTACGATGGCCTTTGACACATGAGCCCTAACAACCGGGTTGTCATCCTGACCAGGGTGTAAACATATATACCCCACCTTTCGTTTTCATTATTCTCCGAAGGATAGTGGGGACTATCTTCAGAATCACTTGGGGGCTTGGGCTTATCCACTACTCCATCTTTTAAACAAGCACATGCTGGCGGAAGGCCGCTCACAGTCAAGACCTCCGACATCTGTTGAAGCCAACGGACGACTGCTCTGGGAGAACTTTTCAGACACTTCTGCCCAACCACTCGGCCCTGGCCCACATCCTCCCCTGAAGCTCTAACAACTCTGATCCTCAACTCTGAGCACTGAAGCTGCAACGCCGCACGATCTCCGCACCGAACGCGAGTTCAAGACCCCAAGCACCGAAAGCCCCGAAACCCTTCGGCCCTTCCAGGAAACCTGCCGGCCTGTCCTTAGTCCCAGTGGCCATGGATCGCGTAACTGAGCCGTGCGGCGCCGGCACCGAGGGCGGATACGGGTTCCTGTCAGCGAGCACGCGGCTTTGGCTTCGTGCTAATTTTTTTGTGCGGCTTTAGAGCTTAGGCTTCTGAGTTTTGAGTTTGGGTGATTTGGGATTTCAAACACGCACACTGGAGAGTGTTTGACTGAGTGTATGTGAGCGTTTCGGCTGTAGAGTTCGAGGTTCCGGGTGACAACTCGAGGGCGACTGCTACTTCGACTGGTCTTGTTCACGCTCCTGTAGCTCGCAAGTGGGACAGAACAACCTTAAGCCGATAGCCCGGCTTACATGCCATACTTACTGATCCTCATGACGTCGCAACAGCCCCGGGTACCAAGCGCTCGTGAGTCGGATGATGTGAACTGAATGTTGTCGGAATGCGCTGGTGGGGTGGGGTCTCGCGACTCGGAAGACTTGGCTCTGCCAGGTTTGTTCTGCTCTCTTCGAACACCTTCGTGATGTGCTCGGAAAGTTCCATGTATGGCACAGCATTGCGACAATGGAAATGTGTGACTTGTTTGCGGAGCCTCACAAAGCATGTAATTCGCCAGTCAAAATCTGCAATGCCATTCTCTCGGCGCTTGTTAAGTGCTAATCGAAGGGGGTTGTTCGAAGCCCCCTTGAAGCTGAGGGGCTTTGTCTTGGGCAGGTTGCCCAGGTTCGGATCCAGCTTGGCCCCTGGCACATGCGGGACTCTGTGGGATTTTCTGAGCCTCTCGGTTTCGTAGCCAAAAGCGGAAACCCTCGATGTCAAGAGTCAAGAGAACCTGAAGATCCAACCAACATGACTCCAAACATCCCCGAGATCCCAACTGCCACACCCTGCACCCGCGGAACCTAAGCAAGATCAACTGCCCGCACCTTGCGAGTTTCAGGGTCAGGGTTCAGGGAAAGCATATCATCAACATACCCTCAACTGCCCAAGCGCAAAGCCGAAAGTGCCTTCGGTCGGGCTGAGTAGGGAGAAGATGCGCCACATACGCCGGCCACTGTAGTAGGACAGGAGGTGCCTGGCCAAAGGTTTGAGATCTCTGGTTTGCGGCATGTTGCTCTGCCGTCTAAGTTTGGCTCTGCAGGCCTTCCACTAAGGGTTTGGAGTTTCGACTTGTGCCTAGGCTCTGGGCTCGTCGTTTGGGGGCCAGGAAGCAAGCAAACGTTGCCCCGTGACATAAACGCGCGGGGATGTACAACAGGGCAGTACAGCATGGCGCAACAGGCCAAGCCTTGACCTTAAAGCCTCGAGGCAAAGTCCAGCCCTGCAAGAATGAAAGCTGCGAACCCAGCAAGAGTACCTTACACTTGAATTAAGCTTTGAAGCTCAAGTCTTCTGGGTTCGGGCTTGGGAAGTCAACAGTCTTGATGGCAGGGCTCTGGAAGTCATCAACGTGCTTCAGCCATGGATGATCCAGTAACATGGATGTTGCTCCCGCGCCCCCAACCACCAAAACAACTTCGTGGTACATGCCTACAGGCCCTGAGGCTCTTGCATACGCCCAAGGGTAGCTACAGGGATTTCCATGCCGCCAGAATCCACCATATGTCGCCCTTAAGCCCTGCATCCCAGCTCCTGGTGCTTTCGATGTCCGCTACGGCGGTGTTTTCGGACTTAGCCCACGCACAGATGCACAGAACACGCTTCAAGGCAAACAGTGTAAGGATGTGGCGAAATCCTGGCTTGCCATGTTGCAGCCCTGAGTCTCTGATTTGGCTGCCGCCCATATATGTTGAACAGACATAGCTCCATCCCTCCCCTGTTCCGCCAACCTCCCAAACAACGGAGACGAACTTGCACCCAGGGCAGGGACGAAAGCTCAGTAAGGTTTAGTGCTAGATCTGCCATTCACAATCACATGACCCCGGGTTGCGGATTAGGCAGCTATTATAAGCCTGCAAGCTGAAACCCAAGACCGCAAGACTTGGAGAGTTTTGGGGTTCACGTAGGATTTAGGGCGTACCCCACACGAAGCCACAGGCAGCATGCGCAATAAATCCAAGCCCTGAAAACAAAATGTCGGGCGGTGCTATAGCACGCCATCTGGCCCCCTCTTGCTTGGCACCCCTTTGCGCACTGATCGACCAAGCCCAATCCTATTGCAGCCCCCCTTGCGCACCCGTCGACCCAGCATCTTTCTGATCCTGCCCACTTAAGCCTTTCAGGTTTGGGGCTCAGGCTTCAGGGGCTTTAAACTGTCGTTGGCGTGTAGGATCTTTACTTGCCTTCAGGTGAAACTTCTCCAACTGGGCTGTTAACGGACACGCGGCTGTTGGCTCATAGCCGTATGCTCCGAAGAAGTCGAAGTCTCCTTCAACTCGGGCTCTCGTGGGCTCTTGTCCCTTTGCTGGTGCTTCCGGCGTTTGCGGGCGTTGTGGTTCTGGCTCTACACTAGACTCATCTAGACTCCACAAAGTGCACCTTTCCGGATATGCGTGGAGACCCAACAGTGTATACGGCCACCCACCAGAGCCCTCCAAGATGACCCCAACACCACTCCAAGAGCACTCGAAGGGCCCTCCGTCCGGGCTCTCAATGCAATGTTTGGGGACCGACTTCGAAAACCCAGGCGTGCCAAGCCTGCCAAGCCAGGACCGCAGCGAAGGAAACAATTTGGAAGCAACGCCGGCATATTCCCGACCTAAACTCTCTCAGCCCTCAGCCAGGGGTAACCCACGTCCTGGGAACTTCGCCTCTTTGGGATGCCACCAGCCCTTCTCGATGGCCAGGTCTGTGACGCCTGGGACTTGTTCAGGCCCAGCGCATAAAAAAAAAAAAAACCGAAGCCCACAACCAGGGTTCAAGTCCTGAGCTCCTGAACTCCTACGGCGATTAACCCCAAAAGCCCCCCCTCCAAGGCTGCCCTGCCTGGGCTGAAGAGGTTGTTCTCGGAGTCCGACAGGTTCTCAGAGCAACAGGGAGCTCTTTCGCTGTCTCTCAGCGTTTTATCCTTTTTGCTGGTTCAACGTTTCATTGCGGTTTTTTTTACGTGTCAAGCAGGGCCCGAAGTTGGCCTGTAAAGGAGTCGAAGAATCCCAGAGACCATGCCATATCTCACCCTCCGTCCCTGTGCCGAAGCGCAAATGCAGCAGCATGCAGCCGAGGTACTAGACTTCGGATAGTGAACGAATTCCCAACGGCCACGACGTGATTGCTGGGTACGCCTCTGCTCCATGTCACAGTTCACTGAGTGCGGCCTCACCTGAAATGTCGTGAGCTTGATTCTCCTCCTACGCAAAGCGCAGCTGACTAGCTGCATAGTCTCAGCTCATCTCCGAAACGAAACTCTACAAATGACACTAGCCATGCCCCTAAAAAACCCATGCCACCCGCCACATGCCACAACTTGGACCTCCCAGAAGCTGCAAGTACCCCAAAAGGGTCCGGTTCAACTGTCAAGGGAGGGCCTGAGGGCTTCAGGCCCCCGGAGCAAACTGAAACCCGCCTTACCCTGAAGCCCAAATCAACAGTAAGCACAGCAAGAAAAAGAAGGGCAAGGGGCGCTGGGCCGCCCAAATGGCGCTGGCGTTATTCCTGAGCGGTGCTGGCGCGATTCCTTCGGGCCTTCGGGATTGAGTATTTCGGGTGCGAGTAGGAGGTTTTTTGCTCGGTAGTAGACTGAAGATGCGAAACGATGCTTGAAGACCAGCCCAGGCACTTGCCGGTCAGGACGTTGAAGATCCACCTCGGAGCTTGGGAGTGGGCATTAGTGGTGCAAATACGAATCA